CCACGCTTGGTGCCATGAAGGCGCACCCGATGTAATATTAGTTTTTGCACTAATGCAAAAATCAATTATGCCTGATCCACTTGAAAAATAGCAACTTGCCAACATACATTGCATCATACCACATCTAAACAACATGTACAACACAATTATACCATGAAAAATAACATTCATACATCAAAAACCAAGAATCATCATGTTTCATCCCATTAACAACTTTAAGAGAAAAACCACAACTTAACAAACCATCATAAATTCAATCAATCTCAACCACGATAGATGATCATTAGTAGTAAACAACCATCAAAATCAAAAAATCCACAAACTTTCTTTACCTCTAATCAATCCAAATTGAAAAGAGGAAAAAAATAAAATTTCGCACAACCTAAGACTTTAGATTCTTAGCTCCGTAAGCTTTGAATCAACAATTAACCCACTCAACCAGTTGTAGGAAGAGTAGAAGACGAATTAGATAATGAAGAATTGAAATTGGTTTTCTTGAGTTTGAGAGACCTATCTCTAATTTATTTATAGTCTTAAGAAAAAAACTTGCTTACTTTTATTTCTATTGACTTAATTAACTCTAACTAAAACTGACTTTGGACAACTTAATTCTCAAGGGCTCCTATGTATTGGAGTTTCAAAACAACAACATTAACATCAATAATCAACTAATTATATAATTAATTTAAAACATCAAAAGCTCGTAGTGTTACATTTTGCATTTTAATCTTATTAGTTGTGTAACAATTTCCCCTATATATTTTTTTTCACTCAAATCATATATTTAATTATTACTATATCTGATGCTTGATAAGTGGAAGCCACATCTCGTGAGAATAGATTAGCCTTTGGTTGTTCGCTTTAGGATATTATATGGATCACGAAAATATGGATCATGTTCGTGGACAAAAAAAAATCTTATATTATTTGTATTTACTTTATTAATATCATCTCACAATATTAGTGATGATCATAACGAATTTATTTGTTTGAATATTCAATAGCAACATTTGATAACCACAAACAACTCTTCATATGCAAAACATGTAAACATATATAAGACCTTTTATTTTATTTAATGAGAATCAATTAAAAAATTAAATTTGATTTTCCTCATTTTCTTCTTTCATTGTCATATGTAATTGTGAAATTTAAATATCTCTAAAACATTTAAATTTTGTTTCTCTATTGATCTATGATGGAACTTAATGGTGTCTTAAATAGACCCGCATAATTAGACAAGTTATGTGAGTATTATTCTCTTTTTGTTTTTTTTCCTTATTTATAAATGTTACTAAAAACTAAAAAGGCTATTTTATTCCTCAAAAGATTTAATATTTTTTTCCTTTAGATTTTGGGTCTGTGCTAACAAATTTTATATTCATTTTTTTATTACATTTTATTTTATTCATTTCTATCACCATCATTTTATGTTCTTTCTTAGATATTATTCTTCTTGGCGTAGGTAAATTTGAAACTTATTTTTGCTATTCAATATGATTTTTTTCCCCTATTTTATTGTTCTTTTATTTCATCTTTTAAAAATAATATATGACTTAACATCTAACTTTAGTTTAATTCATATTTTTCATTAGAAGTGTTTTTCCCCCTTTTCTTAGTTAGATGGTTAAATTTATTATTTTTGGGCTGTGGTGTGGCTAGAGTAGTATGCACATGCTGTCATTGTACTTTTGAATGATAAAAAATAATATTAATTATCTATCATATAATAATTTAGCATTATTGATATATTATATAATATTTATATATTGAGTAATTATCATAATAATAATAATATTATTATTATTATTATTATTAAATGATGAGATAACTTATCTAACTTACTAACCCTTAAGAGAGTCCGATTAGATTAATTCATTTAAAATATTATCTCGTGGTAACTCAATTTGGAAATTAATTCACTTTGACACTTCTAATTAAGAATATTATCAAAGTTAACACCAATGAAAATTTTATGGCAAAATATAGGTTATTTAGATGTGGTAACTTATTTAAAAATGTTACTATCAAATGAATTTTGAGAATTTTAATTAGTTATTGTGAGTTTTTTTTTTATTTTCAATTTAAATGCTCAATTGTTTATAGTTCTTTATGATTTATAACTAGTATGAACTAATGGTTAAAATATTTCATATATCAAATTTAAAGCTTGTTATTCATATTTTTGTCATCAGTTAATTAAAAAAATAGTTTTAACTTTTAATGATATTTCTAATCACTTCTAAAAAGTAGTTTTTTTTTATCATAGAAAAACCTAGTAAATATTTGTAGTCACTACTTTCATTAATAGTCACATTTTCATGTGTATAAAAAAAAATCACATTTTCAAATAATATTTTTAATCAAATATTATAAAGGCATAACAGTTAAGATTTTTCATCCAAAATCAATGTGAATACTACCAATTCAAACGTTTAGCCAAATAAAACACAAAAGACACATTTAAACAACTAATAATTTACCAATACATACACCATACAACAACAGACTTTGAGGTGCGAAAGAAATGTTGAAAATAAAAAATATTTAAATAATAATGTATTTTTTTATTTATTAAAAAATACTACACAAATAGAAAAAGTCATAAGAAATAGTTCATTATACAAAATTTCAACCCGAAAAACATCAATACGAATTCACAAGGCTCCAAGAACTTGGGTTGCAAATATTTGTTTATCTAAATTGATGTTTGAGTATTTCCTTCATGGACTTTCAATAAAAATGACAAATCCATCAACTTTGAAAAGCTCTATACTAAAGAAAAATACAAGTTTCATCTATTAAAATCTTGAAATGTGATGACAAATATATATTTTTTAATTACATATTAAAAATTAAGGTAAATTAATATAATTATTATTATCTATTTCATACAAAATTAGTGCTTACGTATATAATGCACCGATAAATATGTATAAACTAATGAAATTGATAGACTTCATGTCTTTATCAATATAACCATGAGTGATGAATAATCATGTAATAGAAAATCTGTTCAATAAAAAGTGATGGGAGTGGTTATTTACAAAACACGATAGATTTATTTACGTAATAGAAGTATAATAGTTTACTAAAAATAAAGACCAAAATAATTACACCATTCCATATTTTCTTTATAATATATATAAATTTATTAAAATGAAAATCATATATGTAAAATATAATGCACAAGGATGAACGTTAATATATATTTGTAAATTTATTAAAATAAATATTATATGTGTAAAATAGAATGCATGTGGATGAACATTTTTTAAAGATAAATATAAAATTTTATACTTAATTTACCGGGCAAACTTTTTGACTAAATGATTTTAATCAACTAAAATTTAAATTTCTTTTATCTAATTAACATAGATTGATTTACACAACAAAAATTAAGTTAAATGTGTAGTAATTTTAACATGATTTATTTATTTTTGTTTTTTGGAATGAGAGTAACTCTCCAAACTAAAACTCACAAAAGGAAGATATAACAGAGAAGTCTACAAGTAGTAAAAAGTAAACTCAAATTGAGGAAACACATGCATCCCTTTCAAATAAAGCAAGACCTCTATTACCATTACAATCTATTTCCTAATTAACTTTCCTAAAGATATGAAGAAAATCAACGTTATGATTATCTCCTGCCATTTGTACCACAAGACTGGCAAAATTAGAGACAATTTTCATTAAGGTATTTAATATAAAGAGCTAAAACTAACTCTGTTAAGAGCATATTTGTTTTATCATTGAGTTTCCTTGAATGAAAAAACACATTCCAGAACACCAAATCAAGGAGTAACATTTTCTGTCTTTTTTCATTAAATGTGGTTTTGTGAGTTTTCAATGGAAAACCAACGCACATACTAAATCTTTCTTGAACATATTAATTTATTTATCTTTAATGAGTTTCTAGCCATGATAAATGACACATAACTCAGGCTGAACCATCTAGCATGGACCCAACTTACAACAGTAGACAAGTATGAAGTTGCTTACATGATCATGAATAATACCTCCACACAAACAAACTGCACTTTGATATAATGGTACAATCCATCACAATTGAGCTTAAGACATTCTTTTAAGAGTTTAACCTAATTGATATAAAAACTATAAAATTATGACAGTTCAAAAGTCCACGGTCGTTCAATCCATGAAATTCTAAAATTATGAGCTTGTTTCTCAAGAGCCATTTGTTAACATTCACACCTACGTTCTGGAACAGGAAATAATTTTGCGTCTTCTGAATCGAGCCAGGAGACAAATATTAAGTTGTCCAGATGATCATGAATAATACCTCCCACAAATCGCACTTTGATATAATGATATAATCTCATCACTGTTGAGTTTAACACATCCTTCCGAAAGTTTAACCTAACTGATATAACAACCTTAAAGATTATGGCAGTTTAAAAGTCTGCAATCATAAATTTCAATCCATGAAAATTTCAAAGTATGACCCTGTTTTTATGAGCCATTTGTTAAACATTCACACTTACATTCTGAACACATGAAACACCACAAAATAAATAATAAAAACTCTTACATGCATATTATACTTATATTAAAATTAGTAGAAATAGACTTAAAAATAGTAGAAAAATGGATAAATAATCTAATTATTACGGTTAACAAATTTTCTAATGTAATTTAATAATTTTAATCTAACTTCTCTTCCATGTGTTTTTTAAATAACAACTACATGATTTTTTTCCATAATTTCTCTTACGTTTCTTGCACTACAACCTTAATTTTTATGTTTCTAATTTTAAATATAATAAAAAAGTAATATTTTATTTTGTTTTATGTCATAAATAAAAATAAAATAAAATAAAATTCAATTTGAGCAAATATTCCATAGAAGTGGGCTTTGGGTGATTCATTCGATAAATGTTACAAGTGTCCAATACGCATGAAACATGCAATGGGCTTTGGCAAATTGGACTGGACCGAAGTGATGGCCGAAAAGAGAAACGAGAAAGAGTAAGAAGATCGGCGATGAAGTAGAAAGCACACAGAAAACACAAAATGGGAACGGAGGCATAATCCAAGGAATAACGCAGCCAACACAAGAGAAGGGCACGGATCAATGACATGGCAATAAATTTAAATTCCCGCCTAAACCCCTGACCTCCCCTTGATTTCATTTCGTTTGCAATTGAATTTCAATTTCCCTAGGGGCTTAATATCTCCCCTCATTTGTGCCTAGCCTTATGTCATAGTATCATTTCCCTTATCTTTCTCTCTCTCCCCCTCTCCACCCAAACCCTAACTCCCACCTCTTCGTACGTATTTTCCTTCGCTTTTTCATCCTTTTTTTTTCGTTCTCCACGAATTCACGCTCAGAAATCTAACTCTAACTCGTTCCTCTGATTGCAGCATCAGCCATGAAAGGAGGCAAGTCCAAAACCGAATCTAAGAGAGCCGATCCCAAGTAAGTTTCATTTGTTTTTGATCCAACTCTGAATTTTTCATTTCTCTGATGGTTCGATTCTTCGTACGGTGAAACACAAGAGAACTCCAGGTTTCAGATATTTACAGATCTGAGATCTGAGGTTTTCAAACTGCGTCTCGATCTGTGCTTGGTTCCTTATGCAGATTATTTTAGATTTGTTCGTCATAATTTTTCTTGGCTTTTGGTTCTATCGGTTTTGCTTTGAATTGCAGACTTGCTGTGAATAAGAAGGGTGCCGCCACCAAGGCTAGGAAACCTGCCGGCAAGGGGAAGGCAGCGAAAGACCCTAACAAGCCAAAGAGGCCTCCAAGTGCTTTCTTCGTTTTCATGTAATTATCACCTTCAACTCTTCGTCGATGCCCTCTATTATTTTCCATCAAATATTTTTTTTTTCGATCTCTTTTAAATGTTATGCTATCTGTTCTTTTTCATTTGTGTACCCTGGAATGCTTTATATATAAAAAATAATATGACATGAGTATGAAAGGTTGTGCATATTGAGTTTACTTGGTCCAAGGTATCCTTCATGAAGTCTGGTATGGTATCCATGATTATTGATAATCAACAATTAATAACTAAATGCATGTTGTTGATGTATATCTTGTTTGTGATTGGTTTCTGAAATGTGTGTGGTTATTAAAGGGAGGAGTTCAGGAAACAATTCAACAAGGAAAATCCTGACAACAAAGCGGTGTCCGCTGTAAGTTTTTACTATGGTTATAGTGTAGTGATTGCATGAATTTAATTTAGTGATGAATCTCTCAGTTTCATGACGTTAACTGAACATTTCAGGTGGGCAAAGCTGCTGGAGCCAAATGGAAGTCGATGTCTGATGCTGTATGTAGTTCACTGATTTTTGGTTATGTATTGTGATTTCAATTTTAATATTTTCTTATTGAAGCGATGGTGAATTGTTTATAGGAGAAAGCGCCCTATGTGGCAAAGTCTGAGAAACGGAAAGTGGAGTATGAGAAGAGCATGAGGGCCTATAACAAGAAACAGGTTTGTGCATTTGTGGTTATGTTTTTTATTGCCTGTACGATGATTCGTTCTTACATACATATGTTCATTTTGCATGTTGGTCAGGCGGAAGGTCCTACTGGTGGGGATGAAGAGGAATCTGAGAAATCAGTATCTGAGGTGAATGACGAGGATGATGATGAGGAGGGCAGTGGCGAGGTATACTTAAATGCTCTGTCCATCTTTCTTTGTCGAATTTATCATATCTGCTCTGTATTTATTTCGTGCTGTGTATTTTGTGCAGGAGGAGGATGACGATTAAAAAGTGGAACTGATAATAGCATTTATGTAGGTTGTGATGATTTTGATCATCTTTTGTGGGTGGTCAGGTCGTTTCCTGATAAACATATTTCTTGCTTCCAGAAAAATATTTCCATGCTCCCTCCGTTAATTTGTTTTGTATTTGCAAAACGTGAATAGTTGAAAGAAGGGAGTTCTTTATTTGTACTTCTAAATGCAACTGTTTAGTTAAGGGGTGTTTATCTTTTGTAGAGCTTTTAGTTCGATTTAGTTTTTATTGTTGAGTTCTGGTTAAGTTTGTATCAATATAATTGGCTTATCATTCCCTTCCTTCTGTATATATATGCGATCTTTTTATTTCCTCCCCCTCCTAATTGACGATTGGCGCGGTATCGCCTTCTTAACGTTGCTAGTGGACCGCTGTTGCTATATATGAAGTTTTGTACTTGTCTCTGATTTGGTTCTAGTTGTGAGTTGCTGTCTGACAGCCAATATCCTTGTGACAATTTGCCCTGTAAGTTGAAATGTTTTTTTTTAAAACTAAAAAGTGAACTGCATTCAATGCAGTTCTCAAACTTTTTAAAAATACCTTTCTTATTTTCAAAAAAAATTATTTTCATGAAAGATTGCAATCGTGATATCTTGAATTTTAGCTGTCGAGTACCACTATCGGTTTGCCAATATGTCAGTCATTGGTTTTATGATCTGTCTTAATGGTTTCTTTTTGTTAGATTTTGCTTTTCTATTCCTCTGACAAGTTTTATTTTATTGTGGAGTATTCTAATAGTTTTTGATCCAATAATGTGTTTGAATATTTTTTTTGATTATTTTCGAAACTACGTTGTTTTTAAGTTTTCAGTATTTCACTTTTAAAGCAATATATATTATTTTGTTTTATTATAGTTAGAATTTGAGCAAACGATTTTGCTTTTTGATATATGCTGGTTTTTGTTATTATATTTAATGAACTTCGATTCTGTTATATATTTTATTGATTAGGAATACCTTGAACGTATAATTTTGAAGTTGGAACTTATCCATGGTGGTCGTCATTTAATTATATTTATATTGTTTGTTTTGTCTTCATATTGTAGTTTATCTTCCCGCGCCGTTCTTAACAGTTAAGTTTTCATTTTTGTTGCGGTTCCTTTTTGCTAAATTCTGGTAAAATTACGGGAAGTAGGTATTTTGTTTCATTGTATAGTGAGTAATTGTAATTGTGATGACTTTTTGTGACTTGTTCATCTGAATGTTCTTTCGTTTGCTGGCTTTTGTTGTCTTGGTTTGTTGTTTGCTTTTTTTCCTTTTAATTAATTTAATTTAGTTCTCTGATAGGTCCGTAGCTGTAGAGGCTATCAAATTTATTTAATCTAAATCTGCTTTTAGAAGATTATTAGGTCGGTGCAGTTATTATTTGCGTGATCGTTGTAGGATTTATTTTTAAGGTTTGAAATACTGTGTTAATCATTTTAGAATAACATTTCTAATGTTCTATATTTTGTTAGAGAATATTTGTTAGTATCTTAACTTATGATTATTTTAAGAGTTAATTAGTTATAAACTGTTTGTGTAAATTTATTTTATACTCACAACTAATTTTATTTTTTTATTGTGCTATGTCATTTATTTTTAATAGTGATATGATATAATTAAAAGATACAATTAACTCTTATTTTAATAAGATAAATTAAATAAAGTAAATAGAATAGTTAAATGTAACAAAATCTTAAATGTATTTTATTTAAATTATATTATGGTCGTATTGGTTGGTTTTATTTATTGTTAAGATGAAAATGTTGTATTCCCTACATTCATGTTTTGCTAATAAGTGTCGGATTGAAAAATATATGATGCATTTTATGTGAATATTTTAATTTTCGTTACAGGATTCAGCTCATTAGGTTAAGTTGATTTTGCTCGTGGTGTATTAAGAGTTGATAAACCAAAGGATTTTTGTTTACGGTGAAGATTAAGTTACAAGATTCACTGTTAAATAAATTGTCATTATAATGTGCTCAGCTCAACTAAAACACGAATCACCTGATTTAATAACTCGATTAATGTTTGACATATTAGATGCATCACGAATGACCTATAATTTAATTTTTTTTAGGGGAGTAATATAATAAATTTGTTGGATTTTCTTTTGTCACTTTTATTAGTTAATTACGCTTTCCCTTAAATTATAATCGAATAAAATTTAAGTTTATATATATACATATATTTATTTTGCAGGTGTACCAGAATATATATTTTCTTAAATTTTTTTTTTATCGGTATTAGAATCTTAGTCCTGAATAAACGCATTTTTGGTTACGGTTTAAAAATATGTAATCATATTCTCCATTTGGCAATTCGGTTAATCCTTGAAGGTTGTTCTTTGGCACACCCATGCTCTACCTTGGTGCAGGAAATAGTAGAACTCAAAGATAAGTGAATTTCATTTCATTTACCCATATTCTTAGGGAAGCTAATAAAGTTGCTGATTCTTTGGCTAAATATAAATTGCCATTGAGCGAAGTTATGACAATTTTTAATTTCCCTCCTGAATTTCTTCATAATTTGTTAGATGTAGATAAGTCTGGTAGTTTTCTTTTGAGAATCTTGTAGCTGGGCTTTTAGCCCCCTTGTTTACTAAAAAAAAATGTAATCATAATTTTTCACTTTTCAAAGCAAAATTTGAGAAGCAAGATCAAACTTTGAGAAGTAAGAAAGGTCTTATTTTAAGTTGAACGGGTGTTTAAAATCTTTAAACCCCCAAACAAACACGTTGTAAATTATTAAATTACTTCCATTTCATTGTTTACAAGGATTTAAAATCTTGGAAGCGCTTGTCAAAACTAAAAAAATCTTGGAAGCGAAAAATTGAATTTAGAACATTCTCTCCTATTTAGGTTTCAATTAATTTTATTTTCAATTTTCAATGGTGTTGGTATATAACTCTGGATTCTATATATACTAAGATTTTAATTTAGGGAAAAAGTATTTAGCTCTTTTAAACTTTTTTTTTTTTTTTTTGCAAATAGTCATCATAAACCTTTAAATTTATCACAATTGATCCTTAAATTTTTTTGTTAGTAAATAGACACCATAAACTTTAATTTTATTATAATTTATCCTTAAATTTTATCAATTTTACAAATGAACACATTTATTGCATTTTCATTAAATTGTTTATTTTGTAAGTCTCTTATATTACATTGAAATTAAATTTCTAAGATAAACAAATATCAATCATTTATTTAAATCACACTTGTTTATTTAAATCACACTTGTTTATTCATTTTATTTTCACACACACACAAAATTAAAGTTGAGGATGTTTATTTGTAAAAAAAGTAAAATTTAAGGATTAATTAAATTAAAATTAAAGTTTATAATGTCTATTTATAAATTAGATAAAGTTTGAAAATTAATTAGGATAAAATAAAAATTTATGATACCAATTTATATAAAAAAGTAAAATTTAGGGTGATTGATTACTTTTTTTCTTCTTTAATTTATACAATGATTAAACATTTTCTTTTACATGTAATTAAAATTTATAATTGATTATATATATATATAAATAGTCTTTTTACATGTACAAATGAATATTTTAAAATATATAAGTTATATTTTAGGTTTATAATATATAATTTATATTATAGTAAAAAATTATTTATTAATAATTTTTTTAAATATTAATATTTAATTTATAAA